TTCAAGCATTTATAGCTACATGTATGTGAAGTGTAATTATAATTTATGCTTGCTCCAGCCACATCAATCTATCCTGATCATTGACCTAATCACTGTGTTAACACTTTCAACTAGATAGGTACTAGTCTTATCTACAGGCTATAAAGGAACATGTAAGTTTTAAAGATTGGAATATCATCAATATCAGTAGTCTTGGTATCATTAGCAGGTTTATACATGTATATAAGCAGGGATATTACATTTATCCTGATATGTTATCTCTTCACATTATGGTATGTTCTTTTTCGAATAATATTTATAATTGTATAATTATGACTTAAATCAAAAGATATGTTCACTATGTTACTATAACACACTATATTAATGGGCAGCATTTGACATTATAAGTTCTACACGAAGTACCGAGCATTGTTATCAAATTGCAGCTTTTAGAAATTAATTTCACACATTTCTAAATATATCATGAAACATTTTCATATCATGAGATATCAGGCATCAAATCAAAATAGTTTACTTAGCAACAGCATGGCATGCATAAGTTATTTCCCTGGGCAAACTTATTATTAACCTCCTGGACAAACTCATCAACCTCCTATTGCCAGGGAAATTACTTATCAAAACTCCCAGTGGTAAATAAGTTATTTATGGACCTAAAATCAAACAATCTGATTGGTCAATTGCAACTAGGCATGGCAGAATAACTGTTATATGTTTCTTACCCAATTTTGAATCTTCTCATTTGCAATTACCATTCTTAATCCTCTATTATTAACAAGTATTTATAATCTAAAGTTGTATTTGTATTGTGTAACTCAAAGCAATAAGGACTACTATCAGTTCAGTATTATACATGTATTATTAAATTAACTATAGTAGCTGTTTTAGTGTATACATGTACATGTAAATAAAGTTTATAAACAAACGTGACATTATTTGTCATTATTTTGTGCTTCTAAAGCTTTTGCTTCAGCCGTTTTGAGTGGTGGCATAACTGGCATTAAATTGTAATTATCTTTATCAGAATAAGTGTCCTGAAATACCAAAGTTAATTCATTAAAATTATAATTGTAGGTATTACCCCCATTAAGTCTCTCATTGGCTTGTAATTCTCGTAGTACTCTATAAGGTAAATAAATCATGATGACAGGATTGTCATAACTTACTTTTGTACTTCATGTATAAGTTTTATGTCACCACTGACAAGAAATATACGTAATGGAGTTGGGTAAGCAGTTGGTGGTGGTTTCGCCTATAATAGGTTACATATAATTGTTAACCAATGCTGTTACATGAATGCTATTATTATTATGACACTGACCCATTCATGAGTCCATTGTCCTGTACTGCCATCACTAGTGTAATAGTATTGGGTGAGAGATTCATGATTCTTGTATCCATTCTTTATAGGCTATAATTATATTGAAAATTTGGAATAGAATTAAATTTTTTTCAACTATCATCTTACATCAATTACAAGTTGATCAGCAATATTGCAACTTTTAGTCTTTTGTATAATGTGCTCTTTCTGTAAAAAAAACATAATCACAGGCTTGTCATTGTTGATAAGTTTCTTACTATCCGTTCTTTGTGCCAGTCAGAAGTTGATACTACAAAACCAATCTGTCCAATAGATTGTTTGGAGTCCAAACACTTCAATAGTGCTTGTACCTATACAAAATATTAATTTTATTTTAAACATGTAGTTAATCTTTATACTTCAGGATCATCATCATGTGATGTAAAAACACTATCATCAAGTTGAGTAAAAGCAGACATGCTTCTTGTAGCTTCAGACATAGTCACTAGTCTACAGTATAGTATAATATATTATATAATTAAAAACAATAATAGAAATACCTATCACCATCTCTGATTATTGACTTTTTGTTTGATTTGACCAATATCCCTTTTATTCTGAACATAAATCCATAGAGTGTAGGATGTAAATGTAAATTTGAGAATTCACAAGTACATTACAATATTTTAGAAACTTACATTACTGCAACAATTCTGTTCTTGCGTAAATAGTACAATTCCCTGTGAAGATTATAATGAGTTTTAAATAAATTGTTGTATGTCTCCAAATCCTAAAAATAATATAAACTTGAACACAAAATTTATTCTAACATCTTGAGGGAAAAATATGTGTCTTTCATCATTTTCACACTTCATAACAACAGCTTTACTAAGAAAAACCCTATACAGCATATAAAACTTAAATGCATTGCTCATTCCCTTTATTAATTCTCACCTCCACTGGAAACTGATATTCATTCCCAGTACAGCAGCATCATGTATTGTATAGTCAATCATGCAGACATCGAAGCCACTTCTCTTGTTCACTACAATCTATAGCATATACACTGATTAATGGATCATATTTATTGCTATCATACCTCATGTAAAAATTCTTTGCCTTTACGCTTTCCCTTTTTTTCCTTATCAATTAATTATATAAACTATGCACTTACAAGGAAAATCAATGACAAAAATTTTATGCATAAGTTTTTGTGAAAACTAGAATTTTCTAACAATGGTATTGTTAGGGGCCTGCCATATGAGCTATAGATGCACCCACTGAGTCTATTCTGTCATTAAAATATTAGAAAATGTAACCATGCATTGTACACCCACAAGCAAGACTCCCATATTCAATATTGCTACTGTTATGCCATACATGTAAATCATGATAAATTTTACATACTTTATAGGCTAAGGTTCCGTGTATAAGCTCTTTAATAAATGCAATATCTTCTTCATAATTATCCAGAAATTCCTTTAATAAATTCTTCACTTCATCATTCTCTTCAATCATGTAATCAAACATCATAACAGATGCTTCTGAAACTTTCTGTTATTAAAACAATTCAGTACGTAAAAAATATAACTTGCACCATGTACCTCCCAAGGTTTATTTTCATTTGGGAATACTTCCTTGAGGAACAAACCAAAAATGTGAGAGAAAGGCCCATGACCCAGGTTAAAGCAAAGAGCAGCAATTTGTACACACAAAACATCAGACTCAGTAATATTCAGCTCAGGTTGTTTCCTTTGAAATTGCTTAACATATTCTCCAGCAAGACAATACATTCTATCAAGATAATAATGACGATACATATACTAGCTGCCATCAAGTAAATCTTACCCAATGCTATGTTGAAGTCTTGAATAGGTTGACTTTTGTATATTTTGGAATATGTAGCCTACATTCACATTCATGTAGAATTTTAATATCTTAATTATTGTAGAAGTAGAATCTAGTTCACCTAATTTTTTGATATTTTTCAGTCTTTGAAATTGACGCGTTTTTATAATTTTCAAAATCAATGGATTGTCAATGACAATGTCACCATAAATATCATCTTCAAATACCTATTATATAAGTTATAACAACAAAGTTAGCTTAAACTTACAAGATTATCTTTGCCTTGTAAAAATAAAATAAAATAATAATTAAAATAAATTAGTCAAGTAAAACCTACTTCTCATTAGATTCTCAATTTTCAGCATCAATATTTCTTCTTTTTCTATTAATTATTTATTTTAAAATTGTATTAAACTGTATATTACCTTGCACTTGTTTATTTCTTTCAATTTGTTTTAAGTTCATTGCTGTTATTTTCTCTTGTAATAATTCTATTTCTTTCTTACTTTCAGCTAGTGATGCTTTACATTGTTTTGAATACTTGATAAGTTATAAACTCTTCGTTAGACTGACCTTGCTCTTGCTTCAATTCTTTTTGCAGTTGCTCTGTCATTTTATCTGCCACTGACAATTTTCCTGTGGACATGGTACATGTAGAATGATTTAGTTTCTGACTTAATACCTTTTAACTTTCCATTTTGTGATAGCAAACCTTGTACTATTTTATCTCCTACAATTATAATTACATAAAAGTATTGTAAATCTTATTTACTTTCATTTTTATCAGTTGCTGACTGTAATTTCTTAATTTCTTCTACAAAACTTTCCTTTTCACTTTCCTTCTCTTTCTGATAGGATGCTAACTGTATTTTAAGTAGTCGTATTTCTTCATCACGCTTTTGAATTTCTATTGTCTCCAGTAAAGATCTTTCTTGTATAAATTCTGTACAATATATATAATATTAATTATGTTCATGCTATTTGCTTTGTATTATTTTTTAAATTTTTTCTAACCATTAGATAGTTAAGTTACCTTCTTTCTCAGATTGAAATAAAACAAGCTGCTCTTCCAATAATTCTTTTATTTCTTTCAACTTCTCATTTTCCTACATAATAATGTTATAAGTTGTAACAAATGAGATAGTTCAAATTCTCCAGCACTAACTTCTTCACGTTCTGTTAAATGTGATACTTTCTCTTGTAGTAAGTGACTACTATCAGCTAGTAAGGATACAATAATAATAATTTTTTAACTTTAATAATAATAATAATAATGCAACATAAGAATGTGAATTGTTGAAGTAGTGTTAATAATGCATGCATTAATGTAGATCAATACAGACATACTTGCTTTTGTTTTCAACTTCTCATTCTCTGATAGACTGGCTTTTAGCATTTTGCTTTTATCATCCAGCAATTCTTTACATGACTCTGCTTCTCAGTGTCTTCACTGCTATATTTTCCTATGAAATTATTCAAATATAACTATAACTGATACAAGATAACAAAAATGTACTTATCTGTAATGTATACGACCATACCTCATTAAA